CCCATGATGGAGCTGAACCTGTCCAGAAAGGCACTAGATACTTACGGCTGTGCCAGAGGTGCCCTGTGAACTCGTGCTGGCAGGAGCAGAGCCTTCCGAGGAGGTGGACAGTTGCCGTGCTATAGGGCTGTGAGGTGTGGGGGTTGCAGCTGCTGACAAGTAGCTTGGGCCACCGACGTCCGTGTGATGCTTCAACACTACACAAGGAGGGTGGGAGAAAATGAAGAATGACATTAGCAAAAAAACCAAAGGGGGGCGTTGATGGGTAGAAAAGGACCATGTGCACCAGAAATGGCCAGTGCTGAGGAGCACTTTGCATGAAAGAGAAGCACCTTCCGATGGCGGCTGCCAGCTTGAGAGGCCCTGGGGAAAGAAGCAGTTAGAGGCACACGAGGCATTGCTGCGGTGGTGACAAGGCCCAGAAGCAGTGCATTCCCCCTTCTCCGAGGCTGAAGGGGGAGAGAGGCTGGATATGCAGCAAAGCCCAAGCTCCCCCCGAGAGACCTGGCCGTGGGAGCCTACCTTCACTCCTCTCAGATGAGCAGTCTCGCAATCGCTTTTTGTCATAGGCAGGAGGCTGGACAAGCGAGCGCTCTGGCGCTCTCTCGGCCTTGGACACGGCCATAAAATCGTCTAAAGGCGGCCTGTGTGCCTTGTCTGGTTGGATTTTTTGATGTGAGCGCTCTGAGGAGGGGAACAGAGAAAGAGCTATGAAACGCCAGTTTTCACCTCTCTTTCTGGTGGCACAGGAGACTCGGGCAGAGTTTACCAGCTCCATTAATCCAGACAGGTCGGGCTCAACACCATCAGGGCGCTGGAGAGATGTGCTCAGAGCAGAACGAGCTGTAGTACTGCCCGTGCCAGCATGAGCACAGCCTCAGACTGAGTGAGAAGAGGTTCCCTACAAACTGAGACCAGCCTGAGCTTCACAACCTGCACACACTTCACTTTCAGCCCTGGCCTGTGATACCATGGCCTCATCCCCGAGAGCTTAATTTGAAGGGTATCCTCCTCCTCCTCTCTCCTCCCAGATTGCACAGCTGTCGGGTACAAGACGGGGCAATGTTTCTGCACGCGGCGGAGGCAGGGAGGACACTTACTGGCTGCAGTGAAGAATGAATTCACCAGCTTGTGGCGGTCCTTGCGAGCAGGGTCAGACAGGCTGCTGGTAGGCATGGGGGCTCTGTGCTTGAGCGAGAGCTTTTTGGGAGGTTTCATTTTCTCGTAGGGTTTGTTCTGCCACTGAGATTTCAACATGCTGTGGAAGTGCAGGCTCGTCGGCACATCTGCAGAGGGATATGAAACACAGCATTCAAATTAACTAAATTATGCACCAGAAAGCTGTGGTACCATAATCCTCTCCCAGTCTCCCAATAAGAACAGCCCTCGACAAACATACAGGCATTGACTGTAAAACCCAGGCTTGCCTACGCCTTCCTTGCTTTCAGGGAGGACCTGCAATGTTAGGACCCAACATTTCCAATCTGAAGCTCTTTGAGAGAAGCACATTCCTACAGTATTCACAGCCCAAGTATATCCTGGCAGGAGAATGAAGCCTTTGTCAGAAAAACCATGCGTCTTTACCACTGAAGGTATCTCATGTACTGCCACGCTCAATTCTGCTATCTCAGATCTGACTTCCAAGAATCTGAAATATCTCAGCGCAGCAAATCTACAGAGGGACGGGCTGGAAGAGAGAAATTGAGCTTAAATCCTCAATTTCAGGTCAAGCCAAAAGCCAACCAAGTACTGCATGATGTTAATCTGCCTGATGTGGCATCTCAATCATCTAACGAAAGTTGTGCTAAGTCAGCACGCTTCAGAGGCTCAAAGAGCAGAAGTGCTGCTGCTCCCCAGGAGCTCCCCAGGCAGGGGCTGGGTCACGCAGCCATCTGTGAGCAGGCAAACTCACGGGTAATTACCTGGGTAACTGATTGTCCTGGTTTTGGCTGGGATGGAGTTTATTGTCTTTATAGTAGCTAGTATGGGGCTGTGTTTTGGATTTGTGCTGGAACCAGTGTTGGTAACACAGGGATGTTTTCATTATTGCTGAGCAGTGCTGACACACAGACAAGGCCTTTTCTGCTTCTCACCCCACCCCACCAGTGAGCAGGCTGGAGGTGCACAAGAAGCTGGGAGGGGACACGGCCAGGACAGCTGACCCAAACTGGCCAAAGGGATATCCCACACCATGTGACGTCATGCTCAGCATATAAAGCTGGGGGAAGGAGGAGGAAGGGGGGACGTTTGGAGCGATGGTGTTTGTCTTCCCAAGTCACCGTTAGGCGTGATGGAGCCCTGCTGTCCTGG